TATGAAAAAGAAATATTTATTTTTATCTTTATATACTACCGTAACATAATTCATAAATAAATTTTTAATTTCTCATTTTACATTTTTTATAAATTTCTTTTTTCATGATTTCAAATAATGTCAACCGTGGCATAAAATAAATTCTGTTCGAAATGTTAATAATATTAATTTTAACTTAATAACTAAATAACACATTTTTGTAAAATATTTTAAATTTTACAAAAATTAAATTTATGCGCAATTATAACTTATTTTGGGAGTTATTCGCTAATATATATATATATATATTACATTATCAAAAATTGTCTTTTCAGTTTCTAAAAATCCTTTTTATGTTCTAAAAAATATTCAAATCTGAAAATAAACACAAAATTGAATTATTAAATAAATTATAAAATCGAATATCACAATTTTAAAAAATACTCAAATATCGAAATTATATTTTTTTGATAATGAGAAAATGGTAGAAAAATAATTTTTTCTGTTTATTAAAAAGAAAAAATGTAAAAAAAAAAAACACTTTTTGTTTGAATAAATAATATCAGAAGGCAAATTTCTTGTTCGAAACAAATCTGTAGTCCGTGAAAAGTAACAATAGAAAAGAACGCTTCGCTGCTTTTAACGAGATATTATTGCTCCTGTAACAATAACGCATCCCGACATATAACTTTTCTATTAATATCACAACGTCAACAATTTTTTTTTCCAACCCCCCTCCCCCCCCTTGTATACACAGTAAAAGAAAATTGATTCCAATTTTTAGATTTTACCCTACGGAATTAGTTAGAATTTTTTTTTTTGAATTTTTAAATTAGAATGTAATTGACAATGCTGCCAATCTAACACGCATAACTATAGATAATGGCGCTAAATTTTGAATATTGTTAAAATAAATAAAATAACAAAATTAATATTTCTTTGACCAAAAATTGATTCTAATTACCGAACTATTAGCTAAAAAAAAAAAAAAAAAAAGTTTTAATTTTAAATAAATATGAAATAGAGATTTTTTTTTCAAAATGTTGGTAAATAAGACACGAGGGTTGGATGGCAAAGTGCCGTTCATCAAAAATTTTCTACACACCGCATATATATATAGGGGGGAAAAAAAAAGTCCGCATTTACGAGGGTTAGTGCGTATTTACTTTCCAATCGATTTTCACCAGTGGTCGACTATCCATTAACCTCAAAACGCATTTCCCGGCTATCATTTTTCGTTCATACGATGAACTATCGAGGACAATAATAGACTGTGTGGTTACAAAATTTTCCGTTTTATGCTTCTCAATTTTTTTTTTTTTTTCTAATGATAAGTCAAAAGCTTTTTTTTTTTATTTCTGTGAAATTATACAGTTGGGGCTTCTGTATTGTTTCTTCGAACTAATATAAAAAAAAAAATACATTTTATTATTTTTTAAAGTTAAAAAATTAGGAAAATAATTTTTTTTTTACATAAAAAAATACTGATTTATAATAATTTAGTAAAAATTGTTATGCTTTTCTTAATTTCATTTCATTTTTTTTTTGCTTTCTGTTACAAAGATAAGAAAACGATGTTATTAAAGAAAATTATAAACCTCGGTTGAATATGCAAAATATGTGTAAGAAAATTAGAAGATGGTATAATTAATGAAGAAAGGAAAATGGAGATTTTCAAATGAGTTTGAAAATTAAAATGAGAAAGAATCGAGGTTGAGGTTGAATTTCTAAAAACCTTGCAGTTAGATGATATCGAAAGAAAACTGGAATAATTTCACAGTAATTAAAATGTAAAAGCTTTTTTTTTTGAAATAGTATTGACTTTCTTTAAAATACTAGAAATGTGTATACTTCAAGGATACTTTTTTTCATATTTTAGAATTATAAAAATGTACAATTTAATTTTTTTTTATATTCTATTACTATTTTCCAAAAAAATCGTGTTTAAATTTAAAAAAAAATTAATTTAATTAAATTTAATCGATATTAAAAGAAATTAATTCACTTATAGTAATTTTATTAATAATTAATTATACATATAAATAATGAATATAATTAATCAATTATTTAATCGTATGACAACTTACTTCATAAATAATTCATTTAATTGAAAAATTCATTCATTGTTTATTCAATAATAATTAATCAATTTTGTCATTTTAATAAATTCATAATGTCATTATAATGAACTAATTAATTTTTTTGGTATTAAAATATATTTCTCCTATCTCCCTTAAAGTAGAGAAAATTTGTTTTGTTGAAAAATATTTGTTTGGAAAAAAAATTTTTATTTAGTTTAAATAAAAATTATATTTCCCAACTTGGAAAGATTCCCCGGAAAGTGCCTCCTGGAGGTTCTATCAGAATTCCGCCGGTACTTCCAATGTAATTCCGTCGGAATTCCATTGGAGTTCCAAAGAATTTCCGATGGGATTCCGACGGAATTAGGACTCTAAAAATTTTAGAGAAAAAATTAATCGGAATTCCGCCGGAACTCTATCGGAATCCCATCGGAATTTAATCGGAATTCCGCCGGAACTCCGTCGGAATCCCATCGGAAACTCTTTGGAATTCCGACGGAATTACATTGGAAGTTCCGGCGGAAATCTGATAGAACCTCTAGGAGGCACTTTCCTGGGAATCTTTCCAAAAGTGGGTTATGTCAAATAAAGTTTCATAATTTTTTTATGAAAAACATAAAGAAGTTGAAACAAAAATTAAAAAAAAAATATATATATTAAAACAATCAGTTCATTTTTAGTTTGAAAGCTAAGTAGTGAGACTACTTTTCAAAGTACCAAAACTTTATATGACTTTAATAAACTCTTTTCAGGAGAGGCGATAGAATTACTTGCCATCGAAGTAAGTACAACTTTTTGATTTATCAATTTTTCTCCAGTTCAAAAGGAATCCAATATAAAGAACTAAATTTAATGTATTTCTCCCAAAAAGATACGAGAGAGAGAGAGAGAGAGAGAGATATGAAATTTTCAATTTTTGAAAATGTGTAATTATTGAAAAAGCCCGATAATAAAAATAATATTAAATTGAAAATAAAATAAATTTTTCTATTTATTAAAAATTATAAAAAGTTATTAATATTTATTAATAATATTTATTATTTTATTATATTATTATTTATTAATTATCTAATAAATTAATTATTGAATTTAATTAATAGGAAAATAGAATTAAAAATAGTGACTCAATTGCCTCAACGGTTCATTCAAAAAGCGCGCCATTCGTTTATGTATACTCGCCTTGATGCCGAAAGACGACAAAAAAAAAGCTTAAGCTTTCCCCATCGCCATTTAAAGACCCTACGTATCTATTTGTGTTTTATGCCAAACGTCCTTTAGATTAAAATATTTTCAGATATTTTATCTCAATTTTTCCGTTACAATTTCTTTTTTATATTTATTTAAGTGTTTTCTAATGTGAAATTTCGTGCTGAATACTCATTTAATATTTGTTTTTTGTAAAAAAAAAATCATTTAATTCAATTCAAAAAAAAGTACTCATCCAAAAAAAACGCTAGATAATTTTTTTCTTTCTAATTCAAGACAAAAATATATTTCAATGAAAATAATTGATGTTTTTTAATAAATATATATATATATATATATATATATATATTTCGATAGTTAATATTTAAAAAAAAAAAAAAATTCCAAATTTCTAGAAAATAAAAAAAAATTTTTAAAAAGTAAATAATAAATTAAACTTATTAAAATTAACTTTACATGTTATGCTAATTTTCTATTACATAAAAGTTGAGTTGCATATGGAACGAATGAAAAATAACATCATTAAGGAACATATATAGATCAATCTAAAAACAGTAATTGTAATTGCATTTCAAGTGTACAACATGCACGAAATAGAATTACAATCCCTCTTGATATTTACCCTCTTTTTTATCATTCTGTAGAATCTTTTCTTTTAATCATTATTGGTTCTATTATTATGCTTTATAAGCATATATATATATATATATATATATATATGGAATCATTAATGTTACTTCACTATATCTTTGTCACAAATCATTATAGATATTTTTTAGCCTACTTTGACGAAATATATAATTATACTTTGCATTTATTTTAAAATCTCCTTTGAAATAATTTCTTTGTAACACATTTCAAAATTCAATTTAAAAAATTAGAAGAAAATTTAATTAATTAATTTTTCAAGAAAAAAAGAGGGGCTAAATATAAAAGGGTACCTAATTATAAATTCAGTTCATAATTATGGATGTGTGTTAAATCAAAAAAATTGTTTTTGCAGTTCTTAAAAGACATTTTTACCAGACAGCAATCTTCAAAATCATGAGAGAGAGAAATGTTTATTTTTATACCTTGATACTATCGTAACGTATTCATAACAATAAATAATTTCTTTTTCAAGATTACAAACAATCTGAATAAAAAAGGGGAACTAAATAAATTTAGTTCGCAATTTTTGATATTATGTGTTAAATCCAAAAAGAATTGTTTTTGCAGTTCTTAAAAGACAATTTTACCTTATAGTAGAAAATAATGTTAAAGATGTTTGATTTTAAAGACAAATAAGATTAATATTATTATTTTGGTATGTTATTTTTTTTTTGCTATTTGTTTTAATTTATAAGATAGTGTGTTTTTAACACACTGTTCCTTTAATTTTTTGAATTAGAATTTGTTTTAAAATAATATTTACTAGGAAATATGTAAATTCTCTTGAATATTTCCCTTAAAATTTCACCCAAGTAACATCTTCATCTTACAGTAAAATTATTCCATTTGTCTTTAAAATTACCCTGCATCTTCTTCAACAAAAATTTTCTCTCTGAGAAAACTCACACACACTATTGTACAAAAAAATAAACCTCATTTATCCGTGTAAAATAACCCATTTTTGTTAATGCAAAAAACAATTCACATTATTCATAAGTTATACATTGTTCTCACAATAAATGAAGTAAATTTTCGTTACAAAAAAAACAAAATCTAATTTTTACTAAAAAAAAAATAACTCACCTTTGCGTCCCGGCTCTTCATCTCCTGTCTCCTTGGCACATAGTTGTTTCCATCGGCATAAACCAAATTTCTAATGATTCCATTAAAACGTGGCTCAAATATAACACTTGGCAATGCTAATAATGTTAATTTAGTATTATACCAACTTGGCATACCACCAATATAAACATCTGAATTACCAATAAATTTACCAAATTCAAATTCTTTACCACGCGATGTTGATGTTGCAGCAACACCATCAACTGTTAATGTTGTATTTTCATTATTTCTTGTTATTTGCACTTTATGCCAATGTCCATCGCCTAAATCACGACCAACAGTTACAATTTGTGCACCACCACCTAAATTATATCTTAATCTTAATGCACTTTCAATTAATTTTATTTCAAAAAAATCATATGTCCCACCATCATCAGTATATAATAATAATCCATTGCCTTGTTCAGTTTTAAATTCAAATTCTAATGTTCCATTTAATGCTGCATTCCATTTACGAAATTGTGCATAACTTGTCGCTGAACCCTCAAGGACAAATGTTAAAACAACCTGACCCAAAATGGGAATCAGGAATAAAATAACGAGTCGTGTCATTTTTTTCCCAACAACCTAACCTTCAAAATGAAAGGTCAAGTTGGCTTTTTAAAAATTCTTAAAATTATTTTCATTTCTTCATTATCATTAATTGATTCTTCCATTCGCGCGCGAGAGTTACAAAAAAAAAACCAATCACAATTTTTTCACAATTCACTTCACTATAATTATTAATCCGCGTGAAAATTTCTTCCTCTTCATTCATCCGTCGCTTCACATGGAGATGAGGTTCGCAAAACCTAACCTCAACGGCAGTTTCATGACACACTTTTTTCACTGATGATAAAACTAAGGTTCGTGAACCTTGTCATTAACATCACTACAAGTTTTGTTTCATCATCATCAAAAAAAGAAAAAAAAAATTACAATCACTAGTGATATGTGTAAAAGGGGTGGTTGGCGGAAAAGGTCGAAATGGCGGAAAAGATGAGAAGGTAGAAAGACAGATAGAGAGAGAGAAAGAGAGAAAAAGAGATAGAGAAACACAGAGAGAGAGAGAGAGAAAGGGATGGAAAAAGATATTTTCCGTGTTATAATAGCAGTGAGCAGTCTGGTTTTAGCACCAAGTTATTTGACGATCGATCCGCGACTCGTCGGTTCGCGTACGCCCCATTTTTATTATTACTATTTTTTCTTTTCCCTCCCTTTTTTTTCCACCTCAACACAATTTTCAAAAAAAATATTGTTCCTTCTTTATGTCATAATGAAACAATGAATCCTTGTCTCCGTGTTCCTCTGCGGCAATGCTTTGTTATAACTGAGCATCCCTTAGCCGTTTTTAGTATTTTTAAGGGTAAGGAGGGGGGCGCAATTGTTAGTGGGAGGAAGTGGAGGATCGGCCCTCACGACGGCTCCCGTTGATACTGAGGTTATTCGGCTGATAGTTGTGCTTTCTACCTTTTAGGCAGCGCCGCACATCAAGGAACGTTGACGGAACGACGCATTTCACGCCGACGCAGCGCGCCACTATTTTACGCATGCGCAAAAAACATTGTTGAACAATGACGACAACGACGACGACGAAGGTGGCGGTCGCTATACATCGCACCTGGAAAGAACCACGACTTTGGAAAGGTGGGTTTTATAAGTGGGTGGAAGGGTTTTGATATGGGAGAGGGAAATTCTATATATATATATATATATATAGTTACAACCCTGAGCGTACTACGGTATAGGTCGAGGAACGGTGAGAATTGAAGCCGCGCGCGTCGGGTGGAATCTCCCCTATAGATGTATTTTCAGGCTCTGTGGGTGAATCATCCCCCTTTTTCTCTTTCTCCGTCTATCTAAAGGACGATCCACTTGCAACTATGTCAATGATGTTTTACAGCGCGTGGACTTCCGGTTTCTCGCTACTCAACGCGTCACTGATTTTGTTAAATGGCGAGTTTTCTTTGAAAACAATCTCTTTTTTTTTTTTTTTTTTGCTTTAAATTGACAAAAAAAAAGATGATAATTTGCTATTCAATTTAAAATATTTTTTTTTTTTCTAATTCTCTTCTTTAATGTTAATTAGTAGAATTTTTAATTTCACATTACTTTATTTTTACTTCACGTCACTTTTACTTTACTTTCACTTCATTTTTACTTTACTTTCACTTCATTTATACTTCATTTCCATTTCACATTACTCTTACTTCATTTTAAATTCACATCACTTTATTTTTTTTTTAATCGAAAAAATTTTTAAATAGAAAAATTTAAGGTTATATATAATAATATATCTTCCTATATTACAAAAAGATATCGCCGCTGACGCTGTTTTAAGAATTCTTGACCTAGGAAGGGGGATTCCCCCCTCCTAAATTTTGAGGTTATGTTCGTTTCAAGGCTCTGAATATAGTCGCAAGTCCCCTCCTCTCCCGCGCCAGAAATGACCTAAATTTTGAGGTTATGTTCGTTTCAAGGCTCTGAATATAGCCGTAAGTCTCCTCCCCTCCCCTGTCAGAAATGGCCTAAATTTTGAGGTTATGTTCGTTTCAAGGCTCTGAATATAGCCGCAAGTCCCCCCTCCCTCCTCTCATTTCCCCTCCTTCGTCCAAAAATTGACCTAAATTTTGAGGTTATGTTTGTTTTAAGTCCCTAATAAAGCAGTAAGTCCTTCCCCCTTCCCTTATCTCTCTCTGTATTTCCCGCCAAAAATAGGGGAGTTGGCGCGCGAAGCGCGCAGGGGGGCGTAGCCCCTCTAGTAATATATATAATAATATAATAATTTAAACGAAAGGACTACAAAGCTTCCTCCACGAGGAAGCAAAAAATCGAAAAAAATTTATTATTCTTATTCTTTTGCAATTTAGATTTAATTGGTAGGGGTTTTTTTTTAGAGGTAATATGTTTTGTTTGAAGGTAAAAAAATTATTGACATGATGTTTAATTTTATTTGACTATGTAAAGGATTTTTTCGTTTTCCAGGAAAACATTCTATCCTCAATACAAGTAGTAGTACAAGTAAATATTTAGTTGGACGGGTTTGCAATTTTATTAGCAATACAAGTAAATATTTAGTCAGACATTCTTGATTTGACCCTCAAACGACCTTGAATGACCTTGACTTGACCTTCAAATGACCTTGAAATGACCTTGAATGACCTTGACTTGACCTTCAAATGACCTTGAATGACCTTGACATGACCTTCAAATGACCTTGAGTCATACTTTTAAACCACTTCTAAATTTTTTCAGTGATTCAAATAAATATTTAGCCAGACATTCTAAATGTTTGAAATTTTCTCAGTAGTATCACTCAGTAGTATTACTCAGCAGTAGTACAAGTAAATATTTTGTTAGACACGTTTACAATATTGTCAGTAGTGCAAGTAAATATTAAGTTGGACGGGTTTGCAATTTTGTTAGTAATACAAGTAAATATTTAGTCAGACATTCTTGATTTGACCCTCAAACGACCTTGAATGACCTTGACTTGACCTTCAAATGACCTTGAATGACCTTGACTTGACCTTCAAATGACCTTCAAATGACCTTGACTTGACCTTCAACTGACCTTGAACGACCTTGACATGACCTTCAAATGACCTTGGGTCATACTTTTAAACCACTTCTAAATTTTTTCAGTGATTCAAATAAATATTTAGCCAGACATTCTAAATGTTTGAAATTTTCTCAGTAATATCACTCAGTAGTTTTACTCAACAGTAGTACAAGTAAATATTTTGTTCGTGACGTTCTTTCTAAGAAAATCGAATAAAATTGATTATTCTTATTCTCTTGCAATTTAGGTTCAATTGGTAGGTTTTTTTGAAGGCAATTTGTGTTGTATAAAAGTAAAAAAAATAATAGCGACATGCTGTTTAATTTTATTTGACTATGTAAGGAATTTTTTCATTTTCCAGGAAAACAACCATTCTAAACAAGAAACACAATTATTTTATATTTAAACTTGAATTTAAATAAATAAACAATTTTTCAGCTAAAATGTGTATTTTTTATTTTTAACTTTCATTAATTTATTAAATTTACCTCAAATGTAAATTTTATATATACGAATCGATTCGTTTTTATGTAAGGAATACAATTATTTCATCTATAAACTTAAATTTAAATAATCACAAAATTTTATAGCCAAAATGTGAATTTTTGATTTTTTAACTTTCATTAATTCTTTAAATTTAAATTAAAACTATACTTTATATATACTGATCGATTTGTCTTGACGTAAAGAATACGATTTTATAATATATAACTTTAAATTTTACTATTTAAAAATTTTTTCAATTAAAAAAAAAATTTTGGAAAAAAGACAATAAAATTTTTTTTTTTTTGGGTATTTTTTAAAATCCTTTGGTCACATTTGAGATATTAATATGATAAATGAGCCTACCAAATTTTATCTAAATCCATTAAAACCTATTAAAGTGAAATTAAACTAAAATGAATTAAAAATTAAGTGATGTGAAAATAAAATTAAAGTAACATTGATGTGAAGTAATGTAAAAATAAATTAAAAGTAAAGTAAAAGCGATGTGAAAGTCAATATTAAATGAAATTTAAACTAATATCAAGTGAAAATGCAGTGATGTAAAATTGAACTGAAATTTCATAATGAAGTGAAAATGAAAATAAAAGTGATTTAAAAGTGATTTGAAGTGAAAGTAGTATGTAAGTGAAAATAAATATACAGCAAAATTCAAGTAATAGTGATGTGAAGTGAAGTGAAAATGAATTGAAATCAAAATAAAGTGAAAATAAAAGTAAAAATGATGTGAAGTGAAGTGAAGTGAAAAATAAAGTGACATGAAAAAAACCACAAAAAAATATTCTCAAACTTCATAAATTCAAAAAAAAAAAAAATGAAACTTGCAAACAAAAAGAAAAATTTACCAAATAATAAACTGCAAATATATAATAGAAAAAAATTCACAAATTGCATCAAGCAAAAGATTTATTAGACTGGAAAGTTGTGGAAAAAGGAAGATGAAATTCAACGAAAGAAACCGTGTTACAAATTCCCCTTTCTTCGCATTTCAGGCAAATTGAGGTTTTTTTAGGAAAAAAAAAGAAAAGCAAAAAAAAAGTCTCTTAGCGTCTTGAAGGGAAAAGTAAGAAAAAAAAGGAGAAGAAGAAGAAAAAAAAAAGAAATGGTGAAGCGTCACGTTAATTAGTACCGCGCGCGTCCCTTTTCTGAAGCCCTACACACACCAGAGACTTGACTCCAACGAGGTAAGAAGAATAGGAAGAAAAAGAAAAAAAAAAAAGGAAAAAAAAAGAAAACCCCCTTGACAAGAAAGAAAGAAAATGAGAATAAATAAAAGAAAAAATGGGAAAATAACAGGGACAACGATGAAAAAAGACAGAGAGAGAGAGAGAGAGAGAGAGAAAATTGAGAAAAGATGCAGGAAATTTTTATTATAGGACATTCTCGTGTTGCATCTCGAACCTCAGATTTCAACTTTAAAGTTTTTTTCCCCCTTTTTTTTATAAATTATACTCTCAACATTATTGGCATCACTTATTTGAGAAGATATTTTCACTTTTCACAGTTATTCTCCCAACTGCTCCCTTTGTTTTTATTTATTTTATTATTTGTTTTTTAATTTCGCAAAAATACCAGAGAGCAATTCTTGCTTTTTTCCTTCCTAGTATATATATATATATTCCCGCGTACTGTTAATTGAATTATTTCCTCGGGGATTTTTCCAATGTTGCAATGGAAAAGAGAGAGAGAGGGGGGGGGAATTTATTGAAAATTTAATTCAATTTAAAAGTTCGTGCTGTTGGGGGAATTTTTTAAAAAGTATATTTACTTGGAAACTAATTGGAAGTATAAGACAGAAATATTGTTAAGAAAAATTAAATTTGAAAAAAAGTGGGTGAAAAATTTATAACAATATATTTAACATTAAAATATATTATAATGATATTCAAAAATGCCTCCCTCTCAATATAATATTTAACAGCATGAAAAATTACAATATTTTTGGAAAAAAAAAATTTTTTAGAAATGCAGAAAAGTTAAATGTATTCAATAAATATTGTTATTTAAATTTATTTTATTAAAATGAACAAAAAATTTATAGAATAAAAAAAAAGTTCAGGTTTCACTGGCATTGTATAAATTAAATTAAAAATTAAAATTAATTTACTCAAGCTTCATTTCAATCGATTATTTACCAAGTTAACAAGATATAAATAAGGAAAAATACCAATAATAAATACTTTACTCAGTTACCAATGTGATATGAGGAATTAGGAAAAATACCAATAATAAATATTTTACTCACTTACCAATATGATAAAATTAGATAAATTAGGAAAAATACCAATAATAAATACTTTACTCAGTTACCAATACGATATAATGAATTAGGAAAAATACCAATAATAAATATTTTACTCACTTACCAATATGATAGGATAAGATAAAATAAATTAGGAAAAATACCAATAATAAATATTTTACTCACTTACCAATATGATAAAATAAGATAAATTAGGAAAAATACCAATAATAAATACTTTACTCAG